GCATTTAGGCCGGTCCGGGGGTTGAGAAGTGGTTATGCTTGCAGCATGTCATCGGAAGAGGCACGTGGGGGATATTGTGTTTGGGGGTGGGCGCCGATGCAACTTATTATGCGGATGCGGAGGAAGGTGGGCGTTCCGCAGCTACCACAGCACCAGTTTCGGTGGATGATGGGGGGCGGCGGCGGCATGCCGATTGGTGCGAGCGTGTACGGCGGCGCGGCGGGCGGGGCAGGGGTGGGGGCAGGGGTCGCTGGGATGAGTGCAGCGGTGGGGGCGGGCGGGGCGGCGCCGCAGGCGGCAGCGGCGGCGGACGCCGTTTGGGGGCTACCTAATCCTACGCTAATCATTAGTGAGAATGATTCATAGGCAGCCGAGGACGAGTTTGGAGACTTCGACGGAGGAGGCGGCGGCGGCGGAGGAGGAGGAGGGGGCGGGGATGAATTTGGCGATTTCGGCGCCGCTGCCCCCCCTCCAATGCAGCAGCAGCAGCAGCAGCAGCAGCAGCAGCAGCAGCAGCAGCAGCAGCAGCAGGCTCCGGGCGGCAGTGTGCTTGGCGGCGGCATGGCGCCAGACGAGTTTGGCGAGGCATAGCCGAGATGTGGCCGAGATACAGCCGAGAGAGCGTGAGCACATGGAGTTGGTAGCATATGGCGACGACTTGGCGGAGAGACCAAGCGTGGCGTGACCGAGAGAGTTTGGCAGAGGTTCGGGGGTTGGCAGTTCGCTCGCGGTTCTGGCTCTGGTGCCGAACGATGGTAGCAGCCACCACCACCTCCTCCACCTCCTCCTCCTCCTCCTCCCCCGCACCAGAGTGTGTGCGGGGAGGGTGTGTGAACGGCGTCTCTTCACACCACGACGCGCTGGGAGCAGGCGGCTTCAGCTCGTCGGCTGCTTCCCCGCCCCCGATGGCTACCCCGGGGCTTGGGGCTGGGGGGGAAGGGATGGGCGGTGCGGGAGGCGGAGGGGGGCTGGTGGGAGGAATGATGGGCGGCATGGGAGGCGGTTTGGGCGGTGCTGAGATGGGAGGAGGGGGGATGATGGGAGGAGGAGGAGGAATGATGGGAGGAGGGGGGATGATGGAAGGAGGAGGAGGAATGATGGGAGGAGGAGGAGGAATGATGGGAGGAGGAGGAGGAATGATGGGAGGAGGAGGGGTGATGGAAGGAGGAGGAGGAATGATGGGAGGAGGAGGGATGATGGAAGGAGGAGGAGGAATGATGGGAGGAGGAGGGATGATGGGGGGAGGAGGGGTTATGGGGGGAGGAGGGGTGATGGGGGGAGGAGGCGGCATGGGCGGCGCCGACGCTACGGACGACTTCGGAGACTTTGACGCCGCGCCGCAGGTGCTCGCAGAGTGGCGCAGGCGCCGGCGAGTAGCCTCATCCAAGCAGCACTAAGAGGCGACACACCCCGGGTAGGGGCAGGCGGGCGGTGGAGGCGACGACTTCGACGGCTTCAGCAGCGCCGCGCCCGCGCCGCCGCCCGCCGCGCCGCCGCCGCCCGCCATGGGCATTGGTGCGCTCGGCTCGCTGCCGATGGACATGTTCTCCGAGGCGCGAATTAAGCCTGCCGAGTAGCTGCGAATCAACTGCCCATCAACTGCCCATCAACTGCCCATGACCTGCTGGAGTAGCTGCTAATCAAGTGCTAATCAACTGTTACTCATCAACTGCTTGTCAGCTGCTCAGTCGCTGCTCATCAGCTGCTATTCACTGCCGATTGCCTGTTTCCAAGGCGCCCGCCGCGCCGCCGCCCGCCGAAGCAGCGCCGGCAGAGGGAGGCGGGCCGGCGCAGTCTAGCCTCGCCGAGAGCTAATTGGCTGCTAATTAGTTGCTAATTGGCTGAGACTAGGAGGCGGGGCGGCGCACTTCGGCCTCGCCGAGAGCGATCCCGTCTCTGGCACGCGGTGCTGGTGCGTCGGGCTAGCAGTTGATTAGCGGCCAGTTAGCAGCTAGTTGGCAGTTACCAGCAGTGCTGGCGCGCGGTGCTGGTGCGTCGGGCTAGCAGTTGATTAGCGGCCAGTTAGCAGCTAGTTAGCAGTGACTAGCAGTGCCGGCGCGCGGTGCTGGTGCGTCGGCGCCCGCGAGAAGTCCACACGATATGTCCGTGACATGTCCATGACATGTCCGTGACATGTCCGTGACATGTCCGTGACATGTCCGTGACATGTCCGTGACATGTCCGTGACACGTCCGTGACACTTCCGTGACATGTCCGCGAGAAGTCCACACGACGTGTCCGTGACATGTCCGTGACACTTCCGTGACATGTCCGTGACATGTCCGTGACACGTCCGTGACACTTCCGTGACACTTCCGTGGCATGCGGGACAGGTACGTCGACGGGCGCGATGGGTCGACGCACCTCGTCACGGTGCTCAAGGTGCACCGAGATATGGGGAGATATGGGGGAGATATGGGGGAGATGTGGAGACGCACCTCGTCACAGTGCTCAAGGTGCACCGAGATATGGGGAGATGTGGGGAGATATGGGGGAGATATGGGGGAGATGTGGAGACGCACCTCGTCACGGTGCTCAAGGTGGTTCATTAGCAGCTAGGTAGCAGCGAGCCAGCAACTCAGCCGTTAGTTTGCA